CTGTGCAATGTAAAATCCAGAAGGTGGCAGCAAATATTCTTCATTACAAGAAATAAACTGTTTATTCCAAGGAAATCTAAGGTGCCTATGGCCAAAAGTTTCAGACATTTGCTTTCTGTAGGCATAAATGTACTGTATTTAGAGAACTGCAGATGGATAAAGATTAAATGATAATGAAAAGCTGGTTTTCTTTCATTTGCACAGGTCCAAAACGAGCTAACTAATTTATTAAGTTAAAAGACAAGTTAGCAACAGTCTTTTGGTTTTTAAGCACACAGGCATTTTGCAGAAGTGAAAGTCTAATTCTAATAATTTACTTTCCTCTTCTACCATTAATTGACAACTAAAAAGGACTTTATTTTCAAAGGCAAAATTTTTCACAAATTTTGTCACAAATCTTATATGAGGTGGCTGACAGTAACTGCTTCCTTAGTTTGTATACAAATTATGAAAACAAGATTCTTCTCACCTGAAATAACACCACATTTAGAAACAATCTGAATTTAGAATAAATTAGATTCCAGTCCTAAAATTCCCTATAAATTTTCAGAATCAAGCCCTGACAAGACAGCTTTCAGGAAGACAGGATCAGGCCTGATTCTAATCTATTCCTGGTCTCAGTACAGCCACTGACAAGGTTTTAGTTCTTAGACAGGTGAGATTTCCTCCCTCCCCAGCCATTAGCCAAATTTCTTCATTCCCATTTTAGTCTACTGTAAAATATTTTGAGAGTTTCAAATAAAAATTATTTTCCCATTTTATTTCAAAACTTTTGTTAGTTGAATTGTAAAATAGCTGTAGCATTTACTGCAGAGCTGGCAGCATTTCTGAGAGAAATTATTTTTTCATTACATAAAGTTTAAATAATAAATTATTTGGGACAAAAAAGTCCTTTAATATTATTAACAATATGTCTCCCTTCCATACTCAGCTCAATTAAAAAAGCTGAAGTGCTTCTTTCATGTTAAAAAAACGGAAATAAGAAAAGAATTGAAAGGCATAAAAATTCAGTATTATTTATTTTATCCTAGCATTTTCTCAGTGGTTTGGTCTCTAACTGGAGAGGCCATTGCAAGCCCATAGAAGGCCAAAGGAGAAATGCATCACTCTGGGCTTTTTATAAAGACAGAGTCACTTTTTGAGATAAAACAACTGTTTTATCTGCTTCCTCCTCCTTTGTCCCCTTTCTGTGTAAACAGCATCCAGGCACTATTGTTAACTCAGATTTTAATGTGCTTTGATATGGGATTAAGGACCAGGACCATAATGGAAAGACAAAAATAAAATTGCTTTAATGACTTAGACACGAAGGTCCAACTTTTTCAAGTGACTTCATTAGGGAGGAGTTTATGTGGAGAGAGTTTCACTGGACTATTCAGAGTCCAACCCACTTTTGTGTCCTTGACTGGTAAAAAAGCAGTTGTGGTTTGTAAACACACACACACACACACACACACAGAGTTTTTTCTTACTGAGATGTGCCACCTAAGACACAAAAACAGCTGCTGGGAAATCATTTCACTAAGTAGTATTACACATTCTTATTTAGCCTGGAAAAGGAAAAAGACCTTTCTGACTCCTGCCTTTAAAATCTGCACTGTTTTATGAACCTAAGTACTGTTCTTTTTGTCTTGCAGCTTTTCGTAATTAAGAAGAAAATTGAAATAGCTGTAAGTTCCATATAACCCATTTTTCCAGACTATAGGTAAAGATATTAATAAATCAAAGGCAGACAGTCACACATATCCATCTTACATTAACTAGATCTGTGCATGCACACACCTAAGTACTGCTTTTACATTCATTTGTTTATACATGGAAATAGTTACTTTTGGAAGTAATAGTATATCAATTTTAATTTATATTAACACGTCTTATAAATATCAGAGATTCTTGCAGTGTCATGAATGTTTGCTTCAGTGAGCAGTTAATAACTAGTTTCCATTGTCAAAATCAGTATTAATCTAAAACTAACCTAAACAGTTTCATCTGTTTGCACAGACACCCAAGGCACTCAGCAGCTGACAAGATTCTTTGATTGCAAAGGACAGCTCTAAATGGCCCTTCCTCTTCTTTACATTTAGGAGTCATTTTCCCTTCAATAACTATTGTAGAAAAAGGTTTTTCCCTATGAAAACATGCAGGAACTGGAAAAGAATAAATTAATCAGTGTAGAGGGTTCTAGTTTGTCTTGCTGCATAATTCTAATAACTGTTTTACCACAAGGTTATAGGAATACAAAAGGTGATAAAGTAATAATTCTGGTAGCATTTCACTTTTCTCTCCTTCCTTGATTTCTGAGGTGAAGAACAGAAAATCTCTATCCCTCTTTTTATGATTTTCTTATGGCTTAAGGGAGAAAGAAGGGAGAATAATTATTCTCTAGTTACACTTCATGTTTTCCATTGTGTCTGGGGTTTGTGCATTGTTTCTGGTACATGCTTGTCAACAGATGTATCTCCAGAATTTAAATATAAAAAGGGGAAATATTAGAAGGTATTGGCATGTCTGGCTGCTGCTGTCCAGTAGATGAATGATGAATTCTAGTGATTTGAAGTTGCCTTAATTCCAGAATTTGTTAGCTTGAAGGGGCTGAACACCAAAGTAGTGTGTTAGTTAGTTAGTTAGTTAGTCAGTCAGTCAGTCAGTTAGTTAGTTAGTTAGTCAGTTAGTGGGGATCTACTTCCTCAAATTCCTTCAGGCCCTTATGGAATTGACAAGGTTCCTCCTATGTACTTCAGCCTTCTTCCAGGTAAAACATCTGGAATGCTGTTTACCCTCACAGGTTTTGTCCTCTCACCATCCAAGAAGATAAATATTAGTTAAACCCACACACTGTTCAGTCCTTACTTCAAGGAAGCAGAGACTATCCTTACTTTACAAAAGCTAGAGGAAACAGATGTGCATTTTCACATTTTGGAATTTCAATGTTAAAACCCAGCCTAAAGTCTTTAGTCTAAATAAGAGTCCTCTGACCTTTTTTTCTAAAGACAAGCTATCAAGTGGGAAATGGAAGACCAGACCAGGACTTCTACATAAATAATACAATAGAATGATTCATTTTGATAAAAAAGTAGTAAAACACACTTAATAACTCATCATTCTCTGATTAAACTCTGTCAAAGAAAATTAGTTCCTGCTTTATAACTTATGGTTACACCAAAATGATATTTCCATAACTTGATGAGCTCTGGAGTTTTTCTCTGAACAGGACAGACTCAACAGTATCTTCATCTAAAGGTCTTGAAAAGACAGATATTTTATCCAACACTTGTTTAAACAGTATCATTTCTCTCTGCATCTCTGAAATCCTACAAAGTACTCACAGGGCTTTGAACAGATATTTCCATTGAAAAAGGGGAACTTTTGTGCTCTAGAGCTCTCCTGAGAGGAGCTAACCCAGTAAACTAATGAGGTGGGCCTGTTTGATCAACTACTTCATCCCTCTCTATGACCTTATCTTCTTAATTGCTTTATATTCTTAATAACCACCTAATTTCTTGTGGTTTGGGTTATCTGATTACTTTCTAACATAGGGGGGTGTGTGGGTGGGATTAATAATGTTGGGGAGTTTTCTCTCTGAAGATGCAAACTGGAAATAGCTGATCATAGCTAAGAGATGACAGGACAGTCCTGTCATAAAGCATCAGTTGTGAAACTTGTCAAAACTCTCATGACATAACCTCTGAGTGTCACTACACTTTTTAAAAGAGATTCAGGCTAAATATGACCCAACTGACAGAAAATTATGAAATCTGAAGTCTCTTCTTCAGTTTCCATCTCTCATACAAAAGGCTGATATTACAACATGATTTAAAACCTGAAGCAGTGGTTGTTCAAGTTTCTTAAGTGCAGCAAAGTCCTGTGGCAGAAAAATTTAAAATGTGACATTTCTATGTGAATCTTTGCTAGGTCAGCTATATCTTGAACGATCACACACCTGGTTGGCTGCTCTCTAATTCATGCTTACAGTGATTTAAGTTTGGGAAGCTCATTAGGAAAAGGAACACAGGGCAATGTTGTTCAGAGTAAATTCTAGCAAAGTCTCTGGCAAAAAGAGCCAGGAATTTCAGAGCAGATTTCAGAATTAAAGTAATTTAAGCCTGAGGACATGAATCAATGAGTGTGAATCAGTGAGTTTAAGAATCACATTTGTAGAAACTGTAAGAACAAGGTAATTTGTGTGTCACAGAGAGCAGGTCTGGCTTGGGACAGGCTGTACCTGCTTCGTGCACTGCCAAATGGCTGCTGCAGCAGAACCTTCTCACAAACACAGTTTCTGTTTCAAAGTGCTGCATTACTAAGAAGATTAGGATTTATCAAAAATGAATGGATTGCTCCTATAAGTGGGTCGGAATGTACTGAAATTCCGAGGGCATTGCCTTTTAAAGAAGCCAAAAGTAGCGTCATGTAAGGGTATTAAGTGAATGATTGCATTAACGCCTTTAATTGCTTGTGCTCACTTTTGTGCCCCAAAAAGAGAAAACTGGAATCAGTCTAATAATTTTTGAGTAAGAAAAGCCTTTCTTAAAAGGAGGTTGCCAAAGATATGTTCTTGGACATATGTCCTAGACAGAGCCTGTTATCAAATAAATTAGGCTGTGCCTAATGTTAGAAAGAATCTTGTGAACACACACAGAACTGTCACAACATGACTCCCTTCTGCATTAAGAATGGTCTTTGCAGAGCAAGGTACACCAGCTAAGTAGTGGGAAAGCTGCACAGTTGCTAATGCCACTGTACTTTTTCAGTAAAAGTCTCTCTTTGGTCTGCTTACTTTCCTCAAAAATTCAATTTGCTGTGTCTTTGTTCCTGTTTCTTTCTCTGCCTCTTGCTTTTCCAGTAAATTAAAGTTCTAAAAGATACCCATAGACATAAAAAGGGACTGCCAGGATGTCACATGCCTTTGGTGTCTTTTGTTCCAGTTTGGAAGTGAAGAGGAGCTTCCTTTCTTGCTGCCTAATAACTGTATTTGGTATTTTGTCTTCCTAGGGAAGGAGCACTGGCCGCTCACTATCGCTTCCTGGGAGACCTTCTTCATTCATCCCTCGAGCCATGTCTCCTACTTCTCCTCTTGTATTTCAGCCTGCCCCTGACTACTTCAGCAAGCCAGACACAGCAGCTGACAAGCCTGGCAAGAGACTGACTCCCTGGGAAGCAGCAGCCAGATCTCCCCTTGGCCTAGTGGATGAAGCTTTTGGCCCCCAAAGCATGCAGGAATCCGTTGCTGCTAACGTGGTGTTGGCTGCTCGCAGGAAAACGCTTCCTGAGCCACCAGATGAATGGAAACTTAAAGTTTCTTATGAGCCCCCAGCCCCGAGTGGTAGCGTAGCCTCACTGGGAGGGAAGCAATCAGGAGTTCTATCACCCCAAAAAAGCTCCCTGTCTGCCCCAAGTGCCCCCCAGGCTGGCCCTAAGCTGCAGTATCCCTACTGCACTCAGCGCTCCACAACGGATCCCGATATAATGTCCATGGATTCCAGGTCTGACTATTGCTTGTCAACAGCTGATTCAAACTACAATCCACAGCCAAGGGGATGGAGGCGTCCAACATGAGCAGCTGAAGGGCCTGGGGCATTTTCCCTTCCTCCAGCTCAGCAAGCCCTAAGATATGAGTTGGAGAAGGAAAGTTTCTTGCTGGCCTGGTGATCTCTGAAGTAAAAAAATGAAGAGACAAAATTGAATGGAGCACAGTTTTCACATGACTGCAGTGCTAGCAGCCTCTAGAATAGACTCAGTTTTACACCTAAGATTGTTCTGTTTGTCAAAAGGCAAAAATATGCATTTCTTGGGGTGAGGGGGGAGATGAAAGTGGGGCAATCCATGTACTCGATGCAAAAATCTAGCAAGGATGTAGAAAGTGACAGCAAAAATGCTTGCAGTTAAGCTAATGTGAAAAAAAGAGTAAAATTAAGGGCATTTTAAAACCAAGAAGTATTTTACAGGATCTTGCAGGTTTTCTGAGTATGTTAGGCATGACCTCTAAGTTACTAAATATAGTCAGATTTGCAAAAGTTCTAATGGAAGTGGAAGACTTTGAAGCACTGGCTTATTTGCCATATGGTTTTTTACCGCATTTCTATAATGAGCTAAGAAAGTAAATCCATGAATATTCTTACTATGGCAACAGTTAAAACACATCTGTGGCAATGGTACCTGAATCACCACAATATGTAGATACAGGAAATCATACACAGTCAATCATTTCAGATAGATTTCAAGACAGTTCCAATGAAGTTTTACATCTTGTAATTAATGTGAAAACACCAGGAAGAGAGGCATTGTTAAGAGAGATCAATACCATGATACTTGAACAACAAAAGAGATGAGGAGTGTATTTAAACTGGATTGCAAGTTATCTTTGTAATAAACTATCAAACAAGTCAGAGGCTGAACAGCCTTTATTTCTCTGTGAAATGCACTATTTGCTGAGCATTTACTGCTCCAGTGCCTGGTAATCCAACTGGCTGGGCAGTAGTTTGTGTTTCTAAGGTAGCTCAATGTTTAGAAAGCTTTTGAGTTGTATCCTCAGTTGGGAAGACGTAGATAAGTTGTTTAGCAAGGACAGTTCCTGCTCTAGATGTTGGTATGTGGCAGAGGGTTCCTGATACGTGGTGCAGGGTGTGAGTCTAGGAGCAATTATTTGGGTGGTTGGTTATACCTAAGTGATGCTGATGGACCTGAAGGGATGCTGAGTAATTTTTGCTGGTGAGACATACCTTGCATTTGCAGCTTATTTAAACAGTAGAAATATGTGGCTAAAGATGTATGTATTCCAGGCTTCCTGGGTAGTTTAGATGTTGTTAAAGCATTAAATGAACACCCCAAGTTTCATGAAGTGCTGTCTGGGGAAATCTTGAAGGATCTGTCAAGCACAGTCAGCTGAAATTACTGCAGCAGCACTATTAACTCTCCCTAGTTTCAGTAAGGCTGTCACTGTGAGTGAAGGGATTCGATTAGAAAAAACTAAAACATATATGCAGCAAGAGAAAATATAGTACAAAATATTCCCATCTGCAAAGAATTTTCACTTAGAGCAATTATAAAATGTAATTGGTATGAAGGAGAAAGGAAAATGAAATCCAAGTTCAGTTGAGGTGGAACTTCCCCTAAAAGCAAATAATTACAGGAAAAAATAAAGCCTTAATGAGTTTAAGTTGGCAGAAATTCTGTAGCCAAACAGAAGTCTCCCTAAAATTCAACTGATCCTTCTGACCAATCAGGAAATGAAGATGAGAGAGTGGTAAACCTTTAGAATAGGATCATATGCTATAGCACTTTACAGATTAATTTCACAATATGAATTTCCAAAAAAAAAAAAAAAATAGTGATTTAGAAAAATTACATGAACAAGGCTGCCATGATATGCCTGAAAATGAGCTTTGCACCTCAGAGTTACATATGCACATAATCAGAGTAAATTTTCCTGCCACACAGGCAAAAATAGGTGTCTCTCTGCAGAGTCCCTTTATGTCCCCTTTTATCACAATTGGGAATTCCACCAGTGGGACTGTGGAAGTCCCCTTAGCCTTGAGGGCTTATCCTCACATCTAACCCTATTGCCCTGGAAGTACATGCAAAATCCTCACCTAATTTCAGTTAAATCATAAATCAAATTGAAATTCAGTGAAATCTACAGTTCAAGGTCATCAAGGCCTTAGATATTCAGTAAATACCAATGCACATGCATTTCACAGAAGGCCTACATTCTGAAAAGTGCATGCCTCTTACATATTTTGCCAAGCTGTGGTCCATATTACCAGAGCAAAACAAGTTCCTCTTTCCAGGTCAAGTTCGGGTTTCTGCTTTTAACTGTTTCCTTTACATCATTAGAAAGAAAAACAGATTAATGAGTTTGCATTTAAGCACATTTTTACCCAACACTATGATTTTAATTCTAAGAATTGGACACCTAACTTTTACATTCCCATTGCATGTAGTGGTGTGAATTCTGAGGTCATGCAGAAGCAAATGTGTGCTTAATTTTAAGGTACATGCAATTAAAAATTGCCAAAATGTTTTTAAATGTTGATATTGCAAAAAAAGTTATGATACCAAGTGATCTTGGAAAGACTTTAATGCTGTGATCCCATGGCATTACAGGAAAACATTCTCTAGGATGAAGCCCTAATTCCCCACCCCAAATAGGCAACAAACATGGAAGTGAAGAGTTTCAGACAGGATCACTGACTTTCTGTCAACTCCCCTAGAACAAAAAATGTGCAGCCCTATAACTTCATTCTCTTCACAAGCAGGAATTAATCTCTGAGTACTTCTGTGAGCATGAGAATCCCTGACACTGAGTTTCATGTAGCTTTGTATCATATCATAGATTAATGTGGGTGTTTAACATGACCTACTCCAGATTTCTTTTTTTCCTCCTGCTGAGGATTTCCTAGCTCTCTTTCCCATGTGGATTCTCCCATATCTAATATGGAATGACTTCCCAGTGCAGCATTTCCCTCAATAACAACACTGGTAAGTGGATCTGGCCTCCCCGACACCGTCTATCTTTACAAAGTCTGCGGGCAATGGATTGTCTGTGAGATCTGTTCCTCTGCTGCAGAGAAATGGAACCAATAAACAGTTTGGAAGTTATTAATGGGAGGGCAGACATGAGGGCATGCATGCAGACAGATCACATAGCCTTGTTTGGAAGGAAATCAGGCTAATCCAGATTGAGATCATGTAGTGATTTCAAAGAAAGCAGCAGGCCCAGACCAGTAAATGAAATATTAGTGCATCAGAGCTTTAGAAGGACCCCATAGCATTTTCCACTTTCTGTCCTTCACCCAGTTCCTCCACTAGCAAAGCATCTTTCTATAAAATAGTTGTGACTGCTGTGTGTGAGTTCTGAATATATTAATGCAAGTATTTCATACATTTGCTTTTGAATGCACAGATCTGCTCAGTAAATGTGAGGACAATTTTCGCTTGATATTTTAAATCATTGGCTTTGTGCTCACCCTCAGAGGTGTCTCTGTTATCATGGAGAGCATTTGAATACACAATATAACTGAAAATTAGTTTCCTTAGTTATGTTAGATGATGATGTTCACAACTCTTGTTCATAGTTTGTTTTCATTTTGGCGTGCTTTAACACAACCAAATATCTATTTACACTGCATTTCTGCCTAGTAGCAAGAGACTGTGTTATCTTTATAGAAGACTTTTCACTTCTAAAGACTTTTGCTCATTGCAAAGGACACCTTATTTGACAGTGCATGCCAGCGATGTAAATTGTATCACATAATAAAGTGATTTGACCAATCAGATGAGAAACACAATTTTGTTTTCCCTAAATTTTTGTCTGTTTGTTTAAATAATCTGAACCCAAGTAAAGCTTAATCTCTTTTTTTCTGCACCATTTTTAGACTCACTGACTTTGCCTGTCAGTGACCTCGTGCTGGTATGAGCTTCTAGAAGCTTAAATCAGTATCAGGTCAAAAGGCAACTTATCAAATTTAGTGGAATTTCATTTCCACACTGACTAAGCAGGGGAAGGAAACACAGTGAAGTATAATCTAGCCAGGTTAAATAATACAAACCGAACAGTTTTTATTGTTGGAACATTTTCAGCCCAACCACAAAAATCTGCAACTAAAATGTACTTACTGTACTTGTCTACTTTACTTGCACCTAACCCTCTGTTTAGTTCCTTGTACATTGCTGTATTCTCATTGTTTGAAACTTACTCTTCAAAAGTGAAATAAATATTGTGAATAAATTGTGAACCCAGTCTGTACACTATGAAGGCTATTTGGATAAATAGCTCTTCAGGAAATAAGGCCAGCATATACAATCTAGCTGTGGAAAGTCAGATCAGATTTTCACTATAGACATGAAATTAATCCCAAAGCAGTTTTTGCATTTGTACAGCAAGCAGGATTTTGTCCCCAGTACAAGAAAAATGATTAATGCATGTAAAACTCGAGGAACTGAAAAAGCTCCACAATAGCATTTTAAGAGCTTTGCTCTACAAAGGATTTACAAGGTTATAAGAGACCCAGTACTATTCCTTTCCATAGCTACATTTCCCTTCTTTTGTAAGTTCTTAAATACATCATAAAGAAAGGAAGCATAAGCCACACTCACAGTTTAACAGAACTCCCTTGAGTCCCATAATTGGCAACAGATTAAAAATCTCCCTGCCAGGGGAACAGTCATAGGTTTTGTAGGATGCTTCACTGTGCAGAGAATGTACCCTGGGTTTCTTGGAATGCCCTCGATTTTCTGGTGCATTCATCAACGTTTAAGAGCATTTAAAATGACTCCAGTGTGGCAGACTGCTCCCTTACTGAATGTGAGGCTGATGGAATGGGGAATTTTAAGTCCAGAGAGGCAGACATTTCCAGGCCAGTGTCTGGTTTTCCTCAAACTGAACATTTGTGCTTTGAAATTGTTCCCTGGATATATTATTGGACTTAAAAAGAAGCCTTGTGTTGCTGCTGAGTCAGAAACAGCACTCAAGATGCTGGAAAATGTCTGGTGTTTGTTCACACATTTTCAGTCCTAAAAAAGGACTCAAGTACTTCGCACTCCAAACAAAATGACCT